AATAAAGCTCTGGACTGAAGTTAGGGCTATTGATTGTTTTGTAGCATTGCTCTGATTGAGCGAACCAAGTGATAATTCTTGAGCTAGATGTGTTGTGTCGACCCGAATGTTCCGATTCGGCTTGACAACTGGCTCATATTACGCCTACCGCGGGCAAGATGCTCGAGTCTTGGTCGACGAAGACTGGCAAGTTGAAGTGCTTTGAGTCTTTTTGCTGAAGATGACCGGATAATTAAACTCCTTGCCTTGGGTTTACTCATAATGATACCAAAGTCTTAATGGCAGAATGATAACTCTGAGATTGGGCCTCATGCTGGACCTAACTCTTCATAATCCTCGTATGGTCGAGAGGTGATTGTGGGAGTCGACCATAGAGTTGTGCCTTGGACTAAAAGGAACCAAGGTCTTGAACATGATGATCAATGAGAACCGGAGGAATCGAACTATATGTTGTGCCTTGGGCTTACCTTGATAAAGAGCCAAGGGCTTTGAAATCCGACTGAGGAGTCGAACCACCTAGGATCTTGAGAGTCGACTAGGTTTCCCCAATGGTCGAGAGACAACTGTGAGTGTCGGCCAAAGAGTTGTGTCTTGGGCTTATCCTGATGAGGAGCCAAGGGTTTAGAATTTGACTGAAGAGTCGAATACCTAGAACTACAAGGAGAGTTGACTAGGGCTTCCCCTATGGCCGAGAGACGACTGTGGGAGTCGACCAAAGGGTTGTGCCTTGGGTTTATCCCGATTAGGAGCTAATGTCTTGGAATCCGACTGGGAGTTGAATGCCTAGAACTATGAGGAGAGTTGACTAGGACTTCCCATATGGCCAAGAGATGACTATGGGATTCAGCCAAAGAGTTGTGCCTTGGGCTTATCTTGATGATGAGCCAATGTCTTGGAATCCGACTGAGGAGTCGAATGCCTAGAACTGCGAGGAGAGTTGACTAGGGCTTCCCCTATGGTCGAGAGACAACTGTGGGAGTTGGCCAAAGGGTTGTGCCTTGGGCTTATCCTGATAAGGAGATAAGGTCTTGACCATGATGATCGATGAAAGCCGGAGGAATCGAACCATATGTTGTGTCTTGGGCTTATCTTGATAAAGAGAAAAGGCTTTAAAATCCGACTGAGGAGTTGAACCACCTAGGCTCTTGAGAGTCGACTAGGCTTTCCCTTATGGCCTAGAGACGACTGTGGGAGTCGGCCAAAGGGTTATACCCTGGGCTTATCCTGATGATGAGCCAAGGGCTTAGAATTCGGGTGCCAAAGGGCATCTTCCATGTCCATGTATCCATATTGTAGGCTCGGGCATCTTCCATGTCCATGTATCCATGGGCTTTGGCCATCAATTGCTCATAATTGGTGATTGGTTTCTTAGCAAGAGAGTTGGCTAACTCATTGCTCTACAAACCGGCGACGAGTGCTAACATGGCGACCGCACTCCCTGGGTCGTCGACTTCCAGGCTCTTGGCTTGGAATCTCTTGAAGTAGGTCCGGAGGTTCTCTTCTGGCCCCTACCTCATTTAGATCAGCACATGAGTGGGGAGCTTCCGCTTAGCGTCAGCTACAAAATGATGGATGAACTTTCGGCTAAGCTATCGAAAGTTTCTGATGGATCTCTTCTCGAGAGTGTTCCACCAGAGCTTAGCACTCCCTGAAAGAGTGATAGGAAAGCACCGACAGAGAATTGCTACTGAGACTTGGAGCATACTCATCACATTATAATAATTCTGAATATGCTCGGAGGGGTCTCCCTCGCCCTTGTATGTCTCTATGTGAGGCATTTTGAACTTTTCACATGGGTCATTCATAAGGTCGTCTGAAAGGGGGTTGTTACTCCCGAAGACGCTTGCGATCGGTCTATTGACTCGATCGTATCCAGAGGCTCTAGGAGAGTCGTAGAGACTGCTTCTTGCGACTGTGGAAGCCGGCTGAGAAGCTCATTGGAGAAGGCAGCAAATTGCTCTTGGCAGAATTAGGAAATCATATGAGCTGTTGCTTCAAGCTGGGCTTGAGTAGCATAACTCTGATGAGGTCCTCTAGGATGAGATTACTCAGCTCTATCTTCAAAACCAGACATGTTCTCTCAAAAAAGAAAGAAGGCCCCACGGTGGGCGCCAAACTATTGATGTTAAATATCACACAGCTAAATAAAATCACGGAGTTTGCAAGGGACCGCTTTCTTCTTTAACTTTATGTCTGGTTCTGTAGTTAAGATGATTGGGCAATCTGCATACAAAGAGTCGTAAGAGGGCAAGGATAAATTCCCCTATAGTGCCTCCAATGATCAAGTCAGTTGATGAACTTGGCCTTGAGTGGAGTAACAGAAGTAGGAGCTAGAAAATGAGTCATCCTTTGCTCTACATGTGTCGGCTGGCGATAAGAGGAAGATCACTTTGACGTCGATTTGAGGAGCGATCGATGGGGTGTGAGCTAATAAGCGGCGTGATGACGCATCGTTTATGAGTAAACATGATGTGACTTGTTGTCGGGATGGATAAGCTTTGGCGAAGTTATTTTTTAGCTTCGCTGAGAAGTAATGTCCCTCATGATGGGAGTTGACTCGTTGAGAGGAGTGACGACTCGCTAAGTCTACTAGGCTCTTGGCGAGTTGCATGCTGCGAGAGGGCTAACTGGTACCATCTTTTGAGTCGACATTGATGAATGTCGACTCGTCTGGTCGGGTGAGTTGGACTGTTGGCTGATCTCTGGCTATCTATCCCGTCGGTCGAGATGTCGACTCATCAGGTCATATATCTGGAAACAGTTGTACCCCATAACAATGATCATTTGAAATTTTTTTAGTCATGGATAATTATAATTTGATTAAGATTGCCAAATATTTGATTATAATTAGAATTTCCTAATTTGGATAGATTTAATTTGATGAAGATTCTAAATATGGATAGGAGATACTCATCATGTAAGAATACCTCCTTTATATATAATGAGAAAGTAGTGGTTTTCCTAAAGGCATTATCATGTGTCATAGCAAAAAATGTTCATGTGTCCTTCGATCCTACCAGGAGATGACACATGGACACTTAATCTTACCTTTAACTAATTAAGAATCCCCATCAAATAAAACAATCTATAATTAAAAAACTTTAATAATAAAAGTAATCCTAATTAAATTATAACTATCCCTCCCTTATATATAATGAGAAATTAGTGGTTCTCCCTAAAGACATAAAAAACTGACATGTGTCATTTAAATGCATAACATTTTTCATATAAAAACAATCATGTATTCTTCTATATGATCAGGATCATGATACGTGGACACCTAATCTTATTTTCACCCAATTAAGAATTCTCACCAAATTAAAATTATCTATAATTAAAAAATTAATAATTGAATACCTAGTAGTCCTAATCAAATTATAAGTACCCATAATCCTACTCAAATTATAACTGTCCATAATTAATCAAATCTTATAATCATATCTTTCCTTTATATATAAACGGGATCCTATCTGAAGTTGAGATGTTGACATTTCATCGTAAGAATCCTAATAAACTTAAGACTATATATAACAAGAAAATTTTAATAAATAAAAACCTCTTTTCTAATTATCTTTACCTAATAGTCCTGATCAAATTAAAACTATTTATAATTGAAAATTCAAAAACCTTTCTCATAATATATATATATATATTATATATATATAATATTATATATATATTATATATATATTATATATATATATATACTAATATATATATAATATATATGAGAGAGAGAGAGAGAGAAGAGAGAGAAAATGGGTATGCTTGGTACCACACAAATTTTGTGATTGGTAGTGAGGTGTTTCATTCCATCCACTCATTCAATTGGGGACCAATTCCAACCATGTGAATGTGGTCTCCCCATTTGAAATGAGTGGATGATAATATGCACCTCACTACAACCCCAAATTTTGTGCTTGGTACCAAGCATACCCATATTCCTCATATATATATATATATATATATATATATTATATATATATATATATATATAATATATATATATATAATATATATATATATATTGAAAATTAGAAAATTATGGAAAATTATCAACTGCCCTATTAAAAATATAAAAATTAGGAACAATCCTAAAAAATCTAAAAATTATAAGCAATGCCTCAGATTCAAAAATTAGAAATAACTTTATGATAAATCTAAATTTTCAAAAAGGAAAATAAAAAACCAGATACTCACAAACAATCCCTTCATATTTAAAAACTACAAATACAATCCTAAAAAATCCAAAAAATTATAAACAACGTTTTAAATTTAGAAATTATAAACTATCCATTTTAAAATTAGCAAATTATAAACAATCTTTAGAAAGTTAAAAAAATATAAAATTCCTATAAAAGTTTAAAAAATAAAAATAGCACCTGAAATTTTATAAAGAACCTCTTTAAAATTTTACAAATAACCCCTTGATAGCTTTGAAATTATAAAAGCCCTCAAAAGTTTTACAAATAGGCCTTCAAAAATTTTAAAACTAGCCATATAAAAGCTGCAATAATAATAAACATCATGCTGAAAATTTTAAAATATTATCAACAACAACCTAAAATTTTCGCTAACGACCCCTTAAAAGTTTCAAAATTTACAAATACCCTACAAAAAATTACAAATAATCTCATCAAAGTTGCAAATAAACCCTTCATATTCAAAAAGTATAATAAATCCTCGAAAATAAGAGAATTACAAAAAGCATCATAAATTTTAAAAAAAAATATGAACTAACTCTTTAAAATCCACAAATTATAAAAATCCATAAAAATTCAAAAAATAATAAGCCAAATCATCTCTCTTATTATACTAGGGTTGCTTAAACTATTCGAGTGATGTATAAACCAACATATATAAGCCAAAGAAATTAAAACAATCCGCATGAGCACTAGCTTAATACTTGTTCTAAGTTGATACTAAATTAATGCATGATACATGTCATTGTTGTATGCACTTAGATGACATTGTCTGGTGATTTGAGTACCACCAATTTCTCATTATATATAAAAATAAAGGATTTTTGATTTGATAAAAACATCAAGCAATCCTACACATTAAATCCAGAATCAGGTGGCACGTGACCAAGGTAGGAATATGCTTTGTCCCACCCCAACAGCCCCCGTGTTCTATTAATAATAATATCTCCTGCTTACTTTGTCTACTCTCTGCAGGTCCACGATGCACGAGTATCACTAAAAAAGAAACGAACTGTATCTGGTTAGCAATGATAAAACTTTCAGTTTTGAATTTGAAGTCGTACGTAAAGCTATAGCTTAATTTGTCCTCAAATATATTAATTTATTAGGAGATTAAAGCTAGGCGCGTGTTTTATAGATCCTTGACAGCAGAGAAGATCCGAATTAAAAAAAAAAAAAAGGAATCAATGTTGATACTAACTATATTTGTGAAACACATAGCAACTACAAAACAACTATCAGTATATGTTGATACAATTTGCACTACTAAATAAGGGGTTCATATGTCTTTTTAAGGCATTCAGTTGAGCACTGTTAATTAGACTGAAAAATTAAGAGCTAGTGACAGAGAACCTTCGCCCCCCGTGAACTCCACGGTCAGAGGTAGCAGCAGTGGAGAATAGCTGTTGCCCTACGTCGACGCCGCCGCCCTTGGTATTAATCAGCATGTTTCTTACGCGCCTGCCCGTTAGAAGAGCCAATGATTTTAATAAAAGAGCCAATAATCCTACGAAGGGGTTACAACTTACAAGGAAAGAGATCTAGCTAGGAGTGAACTCGGAGCCTCGGGTCGACATACCTCAACTTGAGCCAAAGCATCCTTCCTCTCTCTCTCTCTCGATCTCTCGTCTGAAGACCGAAGAAGACGACGCCTTTTCAAAGTGACGCAAGCTTTTCGGCTCGAAGAGAAAGGAATAATGAGTGGGGGCCGGGGAAAGGTTAGGGAGAAAAGGACAGAATTTTAAGGGTGAATTGCACTACACCCCTGGGAACTTCCAGCATTTTGCAGTAAACCCCCCAACAACTTTCAAAATCACACTGGACTCTCAAGGATCTTTCAACATTTTGTAGTAAACCTCCAGTGAGTCTTTCAATTGTAGACGTCCTTGATGAGTCCCTTCATTTTACAAACAATCCCATAAATCAAAATAAAGAAAACAACATAGAAAAGTCATTTCGAAGGACCGTTTCAAGAAAATAAATTTCAAAGTCATGGGAGTTTCGTGTGCCCAGTCAAATGTAAAAGTACTATTTTTTGGAGTTTTGTGCCTAAAAAAAGTCTATTGCGAGTTTGATGCAATTTTTTAAGTTATTAGGGGTTTATTGAAAACTTTAGAAATTTTTTAGGGTTCCGTATGATTTTGAAAGTAATCGGGGTTTTACTATAAAACGTTAAAATTTCTTGGGATTTAGCCTAATTTACCCAAAATTTTATAAAAGGATTTTTGGAAGAGCTTTGCTACAGGGACCCAAAATATGGGACCAATAGGAGGGACAAATGAGGTGTCCCCCTCCTATTGGATAATGAGTTGATCATCATTAATGATAGCCAACTCATTATCCAGTAGGAGGGGGACACCTCACTTGTCCCCCCTATTGGTCCCATATTTTGGGTCCTTAAAGAATTTTTCTTTTTGGAATGCTGATGGCGGCGATTGTAATTAACTTCCTAAATACGCACTCTCTAACTTCCCAAAAAAAATGCCGCCACTTAAAACCGGAGTTCTGAATCTAGTTTTGTAATTATTGACATCTTCAAGGGACTTTGTTAAGTTGACTCCACCCAACTCATTATTTGACCTTCTTCTACTATTTTGAAAAGGACAAATTTTCAAAATCAACCAAATTCGAGAATTAATTAGCAAAATCGACCTATTTGAACTTTAATCAGCAAAACCAACCCTTTTCTTCTGAAAAGGGTCGGTTTTGCTGGCGAAAAGTTTTTACGACATATACGGGACTGCTAGTCCCGTGTATTTCGTGGCAGTTTCGAATAACACGGGACTAGCAGTCCCGTGTTTTTTCCAGAGACCAACATCTCTGCGAAAATGAAGTGCACGGGACTGCTAGTCCCGTGCACTTCCTGGGCGCAATGAAATGCACGGGACTAGCAGTCCCGTGCATTTCCTGCACATTCACTAAGTATTTCTGCTACGGGATAATTCCCTGTACAAACTCATATTTCAAATGCAACAATCATAAATTACACCATTGCATAAACATATATATCAATTCCCTGTACAAACTCATATGTCAATTCTCTGTATAAACACATATCAAATCTAAAAATCATAAAATACACCACAAACTTACGAATCTAAATCCAACAAATCACGCCACAAACTTACGAATCCAAATCCAACAAATCACGCCACAAACCCACTTACAAATCTAATAAGTCACACCACAATCTCAGCTACAAATCCAAAAACCATCTATTGTCCCGAAATACGTTTGTAATGTACATATCAAAATAGGATTGTAATTTATATAACAATACCAATTAGCTTACATACATCCAAGAACTCTTCTCCTCCTCCTTTGTCTTCGGCCTCCTCTATCCCGACCTTCGATGAGTTCATGATCCGGTTGCGTTTGTGGTTGTGACGATCCAGCTCCATCGTCAGCACGTTGGGAAGGCCCAGCTTCATTGTCGTTTCTGCGTCGTCCTCGTCTGTGTCGTTGTTGACGTGTGTATACTAATTGAGGTACTTCTCGTCCATCATGAAGGTCTTCATGAGTTCGATGTAAGGCTTGGTGAAGCCTCTGCATTATCGACTGATATATTGATGCATGTTTCTGTGCTTCGGGATATGTACCTGCGAGAGATAATTCAAAAAAATCCGAAATGCAAAAATTACTTTAAAATTCAAATTACAATATGTAAATTTTATATTTAATTCTATATTACCTGCTCGAGCCAATTCCAAGCCACTATTTGCAATGGTTTGAACATCATCTATTGCTGATACCTGCAAATTTTTAAAAAAACATAATTTAGCAATATTGAAAAATTCTAATAAAAATAAACTTAAAATAAATTTGAAAATACTTACTAATTCTCTCTCATCTATACCCCGAGGCACATATCCTCTTTGCAACTCAACCGGGGATGTGGTCGCATGGAGTATCCATCTTCTAGTTATCCTCCAATACCAAGTGTAGTAATCTGATTCCTGGGGAGTTGGCTTGATTTGCTCAACAATACAAAAATGTCTATCATTCCATTTGTGTATATAATTTTGATGCTCAGCTGCCCAGTCCTTTTGTTGGCCTCCTTTCTTCGCCTTCCTCTCTATTTTTTCAACAGATTGCGGAACATGTTGTGCAAGACCAAATTGTCGAAGCACGCGGTCTGGTACATGCATTTCTACTATCTCGAAACATATTAGAGGAACTCTGGCTCTCCATATAACTGGGTATTCTGTGCATATCGGGGGTAGATGATCGAGAAATGGGGTGTAGGGCTCCTATTCCATCTACAGAGTATTACATATAATTGTTGCATATCATTAAAATAAAAGTTGATATATAGAAGAAAAAACTTGTTTTTATAGAAATGATACCTGAAAAATCTTCATGCGGTCAAGCTCATTTCGGTAGAAATCTAACTGTCTCGCCGGGGTCTCGTCAAAACATTTTTGGACATTCCATCTGTGTTAGTTTCAAAATTCAGTACCAAATGAATAACTACAATTATATTTACTACGTTAAAAAATATAATACCTGCATCCTAGTGGAATTTGTCCGTCTAATTGTAAATTCACGCATAGTCTCGGCTTCAAATGCAGCCTCTCCCATGCCCATACTTGCAGTAAGCTGAGACATCCTTTGAGGTCACTATTTTTCATGAATGTAACCTTAGACATCTCTCTATATAGGTATGCCAAAACCGCACTACCCCACGATAACGCACCACACGTGTCCAAGTCCCCGATAAGTGGTAACCACCTAGCATTTTCACAACATTTCAAGTTATCAAAATAAGCTAAATCAACAGATATAATTGTAAATACTGATAAAAATGATACCTGGCATGCACTTTATCTTTACTCGAATCTGGAAATAATATTGAACCGATCATGTGCATAATGTATGCACGTGCATGTTGCTCAATCAATATTTGCGGCGCATCAAAAGGCAACGATACCGAGAATGTATTTTTTAGCCACTTCAATTTAATATTTCCTCCAGGTATTGACTCTGGAGCTACACCTAACAACTCCTCACACTTGTCCGGCCAAAAATGTCTATCACTGCCGGTAACGCACGGACCATCTATGCGGAGACCAAGTATCATAGCTACATCCTGTAGCGTAATAGTAGACTCTCCCATTCGGAAGTGGAAAGTGTTGGTCTCCGGCCTCCACCTATCTATCAAAGCGGTGAGTAGGGGCCAATCGAGCCTCATCCAACGAAGCTTTGAACATGTCAAGAAGCCGGCCCGTCCTACAGCTGCTATTATGCGCTCATCCTCTAGATGCCAATGGCTATGGCTGAGGCTATGATCAACCATAACAATATCCGGGCCTCTCTGTAAAGCAAATGAATATATAAGAATACAATATTATAAGAATGCAATATTGAAATTATAAGAAACTTAGTTACCTCTGTAAAGGATATAACATGTGAACGGTGTCGAGGCTGGTCATATAGGACCTCATCACTCGTCGGTCCAGGCTCCATGGTGTATATACCTGCACATACAATTATAACATATCAATAACCGATCCACGACTAATTATATTGTCTACATTAAAATAAATCACAATTTAAATATGTCAATTATTACCAATTAATTGCTATCTATTGAGTCTAGCTGGACAACGAGGTCGAGTATGTCCCAGTTGTTTGCAAAGACTACATTTTTTATGCTTGACAATTCCTTCTCGTCCTTGATCCATGGTTCCCCTAATTCGTACAGATCGTGGTCGACCTGCTTGTCTCTTGTATTGAGGTGGAATTAGTCGTGGTCCAGTATATTCGGGCCAATACCGACTATCATCGGGTGGATGAAAACTCTCACTGTATGTCTTTCGGTAATGAATTGTTGAATACCATGGTGAACAATACCGATTATATGGAATTCTCGCACCACCCGGCTGATTGGAGGAAGCCGCAAGAACATGTGCACAAGGTATTTTTTAAAGTTGTGGTATGTTACATGTGCAAGTGCAATCAACATCAAACAGTTTAACGGTGTAGATACCATCATAATCATGTACCTGCCATTCATTGTCATTGAATACAGTAATTTGACATAATCTTGCCGCCTCAATTCTTCTATGCAAAATAGACTCATTCTTTGGTGTGTAACGCGTTGTCCAGTCTACACCGTCCTCACGCCTTTTGTTGAAGTATGAGTTTAGCCTATAGAACGTTCTTGCAACCAATGATTGTATTGGCATAGCTCGTGCTCCTTTAAGAACGCCGTTAAAGCTCTCGGAGCAATTAGTTGTCATCATGCAAAACCGCACACCCTCATCCTTACATAATGCCCATCGATGCTCGAATTGAGGCTTCAAGTTATGTTCAATCCAATTATGTGCATCTAATGACAAAGACTTGATCTTCTCTCTACAATGTTCATACACTAATGTATCGGTTGCACACCCAGCTTGCCACAAAAGATTTTGCAAATTAATCTCACCGTGTTTTTTCTTAAAATTATCTCTTATATGCCTCAAACAATATCGATGGTGATGTGGTGCACCAAAACCCTCATGTAATGCCCTTATAATTCCTTTCATCCTATCTGAGATAAAAGTAATTAATCTGGGCGCACGGACACTAGGAATCCACTTGTATATAAGTTCAAAGAACCACTTCCAACTAGAAGTATCCTCTACCTCCACAACTGCAAATGCTAGAGGAAATAAACCGCCATTTGCATCTACACCGGTCGCCACAAGAAGCACGCCTTTGTACTTGCCATATAGATGTGTACCGTCAATGCTCAATAACGGACGACAAAAAGTGAAGCCCTTAATAGCCGGACCAAATGCCCAAAATACTCGAGTGAACCTCTCCATCCCCGGTGCAATCTCTTCAGACAATATTTCATATTCAGTACCCGGATTATTTCGCTTGATAGCTTCAAGATACTGTGGAAGTAATTCATAAGATTTTTCCCAATCTCCAAATATTTTCGACAACGCTTTCCTCCTTGCATCATATGCCTTATATTTAGATATCTTAATGCCTCGCATATCATATACCCTTTGAAATATCTGACTTGCATTTAGATCAAGTTCAGCTCTAACTTCAGGCATAATTAGCTTACATATATAAGAGGAAGATGCAGAATAATGATCGACGTCCACCGACGGATTGCAACATGTATGAAGCCCGCAATATCTAGATATTACAAATTGCCCATTTGTTGATTTCCTCACAGCGGCATTTAGCAACCAAGGACATTTCCTGTTTCTCTCATCTTGCTCATTTGCATGCTCTACTTCATTCTTCTCGTTGAAATAACATTTTACATAGTAGTTGGTTGTATTAGTTTTTACAGGCTTGAATTTTACCCGATTTTTATAGACCATTCTTACACCGCAAAGATCAATGCTTCCTTGCTCTCGAATAGGTCCCCTTTTTTAAAAGTGAAGTCTTCAGGCCGTTGAAAGTTTGGACCAACATCAACAAATTCAGCTTGCGAAGTATTTATCCAATCTTCATTATGAAACTCGTCGGGCAACGGATCTTCAGCTTCCACATAATCATTGTTAACATTAAATTGATCCATCCAACGAGAATCATCATCGATTCCAACTGCCACATGCATGCTATCAATTTGCACGTCTTCTTCTTCAATAACTTCTGAGTCATCATTTACTTCTTCTTCTACAATTGATCCGGCCGGTATATCACCCGTAACATAGCCCGATGCGTCGTTAAATATAGTACTTGACGTCCCACCAAGAGAATACCCACTTAAATGTTGTAGTTGACACCACGGCTCTTGACTTGGAGATGTCATAAAACCACTCGACTCATTGTCTAAGTCCATCATCCGAGAAAACTCTCCTTGTGGTCGTGAAACTTGGGCAAATTCTTGAATCGGATACTTCTCAATGAACAACTCAACTGACACTTGCTTCTCCACTAATTGTTTCATGTCATTTAATTCCTCATCGTCGGTAATCGCCACAGCAATAGTTCTACTCTCATTTATCGAACAATTGAAGAACACTTTAATTGCATACCATGCTTACTAATTTTCGTAACTCTGTATATTTCATTCATCATTCCATCAAAATTTAATGACTTGGATAGCATAAACATTTTCCTAGAACCTCCCTCATACATCGGCATACTATTCAATCCGACGTTGAGGCTCCCATTGAAGGAGCAAATAATGGGTATAGAGTTTGCCATCGAAGCTGAAAATCAACAGTCCATCATATGTAAATAATCTATTATAACTGTAAATATTAATCTTAATTTAAAGTCAAATTTAAAACCCTAATCTCAACTACAAAGCAAATAATTGCTAAATTCCCTAATCCCAAATCACATTATTCATGTCTAAACCCTAATTATGGTTAAACCCTAATATCAAATCACATTATTCATGTCTAAACCCTAATCACATTATTCATGACTAAACCCTAATTCCCTAATATCAACTAAATACATTCCCAAATTTCAACCTTAATCCCAAATCTCAACTAAATTCATTCCTCTCAACCATAATTCCCAAATCTCAACCCAAATCCATTCCCAAATCCGAAATTTCATGGCTAATCAAAATAAAAAAAAAATAAAACCACATTTACCTTGGTCGCCGGCGGTGGTCGGAACTTGGTCGGCGGCGGTGGTCGGAACTTGGTCGGCGGCGGCGGTGGTCGGGGGGCTCTTGATCGGCGGCGGCAGTGGTCGGCGTCGATGGGTCTGAGGAGCGGTGAAAGAGGTGGGGGTGAAACTCGTTTGGGTGAAAATGAGTGAGGTAAAGAGGAAGAAAGTCACGGGTTCCAATTTTTACCCCCCGATCGCACGGGACTGCTAGTCCCGTGTTATTCGAAACTGCCACGAAATACACGGGACTAGCAGTCCCGTGTATGTCGTAAAAATTCTTCTTTAGCAAAACCGAC